TCAGCCTTTTCTGGTTTAGCCTGGATAGTGACTTAAAACACTGAATATATGAAGCTGTCATATATGACACATGAAGCTGTCTTATCCTGAACCACAGTACTTATCAAAGTCTATAGGTGTCTACTCTTACTGGCAGCAGGCCTCCAAGGTCTGAGACAGAGGTCTTTGATATCACCTCCTATCCTGAGCCTTTGAACTGGAGACGCTAGGGATGAACCTGGGACCTTGTGCGTGCCAAGCAGATGCTCTACCACTGAGCCATGATCACTTCCCTATCAAGTCAGATAATGTAGTTCCAGGGTCTCAGGCAGAGAAGGCTCTTTCCTGACACCTGATCCTTTAACTGGAAATGGATCATGGGATCTTCTCCATACAAAGCAAGTGCCGTACCTCTAGAACCTCCCATAGACGCATGCTGCGGTGCTATACTTATGGTCAGATCTTTGGTTCTGCCAGTGGTCCTGCAGTTTGGTGTAGTGGTTAAGAGGGGTGGACCCTGGAGAACTGGTCTGGTTCCCCACTTGAAGCTAGCTGGGTGACCTCAGGCAAGTCACAGCACTCTCAGCCTAAAAATAAGCGTGGCTCGCCACCTAGTGGTGCCAAAAAAGAGCTACAACTTCAGCAGCCAGACAATCCCCCCCAGGGATCTCCTGGCTATTCCACACAGCACCATATGATAATTTCGAATTTCCTACAGTACTGCAGATTAAACCTGGGACTTTCTGCATATCTAACAAGGTACCATATATGCCCTCCTTGGCCAGGTAACCTTTACACCTGGTCACACCACTTGCCATCAAAGCTAGTGGTGTCTACTCTGACTGACACAAGCTTTCCAGAGTCTCAGAGAGATGTCTTTCACATCTCCTACCACCTGATACCCAGGACTGAACCCAGGACTGCCTGCATACAAAACAGGTGCTCTAACACTGTGCTATGGGCCAGCTTAAGGCGCTTGTGCAAATCTCCTGATCCCGTGCACTAGCCTTATCTGGGTATACTGAGCATCCTCAAGTCTATTTGATAAGGGGCACCTTCACAATAAGTGAAGTGGCTGTTTGACTGAATTCCTTCAAACGTGGCCACAGTTAAATAATGTTAGATTCACTGGTATGGTATTGCCAAGAATTTCTATTAGGTAGTAGAGTGCACTAGGATTACACGTAGCAGCAGTTTCTCGGTACTGTGTGTGCTAGCAAAATTATAAGTTACATGGAGTCTTTGGTCAGTTTCAAACTAATAAGGAGTTCTTTATTTAGGGAACCCCATTCTAGATAGTATAGCTGAGAGATAGGGGATAGTATAGCTGAGAGATAGGGGATATTATAGCTGAGAGATATTATAGCTGAGAGAATAGGGACAGAATCTAATCTAACTAGCTAGGATGGATGCAGATGCAGAATGTATGTTCTGCATCCATGGTCCCAAAGAGAGAGAGAGAGAGACACACAGAAGGAAGTATGGTCCCAAAGAATAGCATTCTACTTCGAAGGGATAGTATCAGATAGCAGGAAGGAAAAGATGCTCTCCGTGTCCTGACCTCTCTATCTGTCTCTAAAATCATCCACTTTCAACAAATAAACAGCCCAAAGTTGTACCTGTCCCTATTGTTAATTCCAATGAGCAGAGGGAGAGTCACTGCCAAGCCTGTTCTTCTAGACACAAAAATGTCTCCTCTTTCTGTCCTCACCCCCAAGCACCACAACTGAACAAAGGTCTGCAATGTACCCTCTAACAGACTGGTCCCTCTGCCCACCCAGCAGCCCCTTCCTTCTGCTGTTTTAGTAGTATGTTCTCAGATGCTCACTCTGGTTAAAGGAGCTTTATTGCATCAATCGGTACTGGAGCCAGTGTGGTGTAGTGATCGGTGTTGGAAGTGAAGGACTTTGCACTGTCTCTTCGCCTCAGACTTCAGAGGGGGACTATAAAGAGTCAGAGAGATAAATAGGACAGGACTCTAATCATCCTTTCCTTCTACTGCTCTGATCCTATCCTTTTCGTGTGTAGATTGCTACTCTCAGGGACTCTTCCTTCCCTCCCACCTGACCTCTCCACACTATGCCAGCCTTCTCCACCTTGGCACCATGAGGGGAGGACATGCTTCCTGCATCTCCATCCGTCCTAGCTAGTTAGACTAGATTCTAATCGTATCCCTATCTTGTCTAGAATGGAGTTCCTTACAACAAAGCACTCGTATTAGTTTTGCAAAGATAAAGAGGCTCCATGTCTAATTTTGTTTCTTGTCAGCACACACAAACCAGATAGGGTCTGCTGCGTTATGTGCCTGGAGCACTCTTAAATAATCCGTCGATTGGAGTGCCGGACTAGGCTCTGGGAGGCCCTGGTTCGAATCCTTACCCTGCCATGAAGCTTGCTAAGGGATCTTGGGCTAGTCATGTCTCATGTCCACACAGCCTAAATCACAGGGTGTTTTGAGGACAGAAAGTGGAAGGGGGGGTCACACAGGCCGCTCTGATCTCTTTGGTGGAAGGGCAGGATGATGGATGGATATAATGTCTCCCCTCCTGCACTTCGTCACCAGTTACGCAATCACCGGCGTAGGCAAATGTCATCAAGTCGACCCCAGCAAGGGTTTCTCAAGGCACGGGAGAAGCAGAGGTGGTTTCCCATGGCCTTCCTCTGCAGAGTCTCCCTTAGTGGTCTCCTATCCAAGGACGGACCCTGCTTAGCTTCCGAGATCTGACAAGACCAGGCTATACTATGCTGCCTTCCAGGGGTCATTTCGTAGAAAAAGAGGTGCAGGAGCTCATTAGCATAACTTATTAGCATAACTCATTTGCATATGCCACACCCCCTGACATCACCGGAAGTGTGTCAGAAGGCAACACCCACCGCTCAGGTTCCACTGGACTGTTTTGGATTGCTAGCTATTGGGGGGGGGGACGTGCTGATCTG